GACTCTCTGTGGACCAACTGCCATCCACCCCCAGCTCCACCTGCTGCCCCCAGTCTCCTACGCTTTGTTCTGCTTTTACATCAGAGGAGAAGGTACCCAATTTCATGCCCAGTTTTAAGACCCTCAGTTACATTAATGACCCATACAGGTGCCACCCCTGGTCTCACTGCACACACCACCCGTGCCACACCGTTTGTACCACCATGTCTCAGGCAGATATCAATGGTAAGAGCAACATGTGCTAGTCGAATGTATTACTGACCCATACTTGGATAAAAAAAATCAGTATCCAGTTCAATCTCAAATGTAATATCAGCCATTAAAAACTCAGCCACAAGGGCCAAGGAGTCAAACTGACACATTGTCTGCCACTGTCCTACCACATGCACATCACTTCCACTGGCTGCTGAAGTTACCCTTTGGTATCTTATGAAATCTCTCTTCTCTTTTGTTAGCTGCTTCATTTGTTGAAAGAAAAATTAGAGGTTAGAAGGGTTGGGTGAACCATGGGATTGTTGTTTTGTTTTAGGCAAGAAGATGTTGTTGTGGGGATGTTGTTTGTTCTTGTGGACTCTTGAGAGGAACTGTGCTGGAGGGACCAGGCTGTGGAGCACCCTGACCTGGCATGCGTCAGGGGAATGGTCTTAGTAAAAAAGACAGGATACATCTGGTAGCTGAGAAGGGAAGCTGGGGCTTGTGAGGGAAGGTTGCCATGGTAACTGTGAAGCTGGGAGGGGAGAATCCTGTTTGCGATACTTTAAGTCATATTGTGATATCACCGGTACAATTGCATAATCACTATCAGTACAAACAATATAACAATAGAACAATAGGTAATCAGTTAATCAATAATATAATCATAATAAACACACAATAAACAAGGGAGGAGGTCATGAGACCACTGCAAAAAATTGTGTTTCAAATTTAAGATAAACTGCTTCTGTTTCTTGCCTAACTTCTTCTGCTACACCCAACAGTGTCTGCATTTGCTGACCATTGGGTAATTTTGCAGCCACACCTCATACCCTGGAATCCTGAACCACTGCTACACTTTCTAAGCTCCTAATAAACATCAATTCTGAAGCGAGATTAATGGCTTCTTCAAGGGTTTTTGGTTTAGCACTATGGAGGTTTATATGCAATTGTCCCATCGCAACATGCTCAACAGAGTGATCTCTGGGAAACATATCTGGGGCAGCATTATCAGCTAATGGATAAGCTTAAAAAATCAGCCAGTATCATGAACTTCGAATGTCTCTGGCAGCTTCATTCAGCAACCGTCAACGTGATAAAAAATTCTTCTTCACTATTGCATGGTTCAAGACATCTACTCAAGACATCTTTAAACTGGAAATAATTAGTGGGGTCCGTGCACGATAGCCCCACATGAAGTTCCCAGACCTGACCGGACAATAAATGGAACATGATTTTTTTGTTTTAATAGGTCATCCTAAACATTCACTGAACAGCAGCCAAACTGCACAAGCCAATAAGACCATTCAGGGCCAATCAGACCATTCAGGGCCACTACCTGCGAAGGTCTCGGCCATATATACTGGATGCGTTGCGGGTGATAAGGGTGCAGGTGTCTGCAGCTGATTCTCTGGAGGCACCACTGTGTTTTCATGGGGCATTATTTGCAATCTCTGGGTCCGACATAATTCACTCGGTCCCACCGGTACCACCAGTGTTATGAACCCATGAACCCCCCAGTTATAACTGATGAAAGTTTCAGCTGCCCCCCCCCATTTTGGTCAGACCAGAGGCTGCACATACACACAGAGGACATGACAGCACAGAGGATTTAAAAAATATGCTTTATTAATAAACTACAAACCAGGTCCTCCACTACAAAACAGGAGAGTTACAGGAGAATTCCCGTGTACTTGTTCAGATACCCCCCCCCAGGTCTTGTATCCCAATCGGAACAGTGACCACTGGGTTCACACTGCAGTGACTAAGGGTGGGGCGAATAACCAATTTCCCACACTCATGTATTGAGTCCCTGCAACGATTAACTATCTTCATGGGCTGTAGTTCTACCAACCGCGACCAACTCAACACAACACCAAACCATCCCAATGCCCCACTCCTCTCTCTCCTGAATTAACTCACTCCTCAGGTACACCTCATCACCAAGTACTCCTCCGTCATTCAGTGCGCCAGAGACACCAGCTGTCTGACATTTATCAGTACTTAGTGATGACATTTATCAGTAATCTTATATGTTCCTTCATTTCTCTCTTCCTCTCACAGCCCTGTCCAGTAGGTCCTATTTGGATGTGACCCTGAAGCCCCCAAGAGTAAAAGAGATGTTCATAGAAAACAAGGCTGTGCTGGAATGCATCATCACTGGACAGGATGAAGCAATAAAAGAAGCTGAAGTGACCTGGATGTTGGACAGTGTACAGGTCACAGATAAGATTACACAGACCGGTCCAGAAAAGGCAGATCAGCTCTTCAGAAAGAGCAGCATCCTGACTCTGGCAGCGAAGGACTGGGAAGGTGGCAAAACAGTGAAGTGCAGTGTGCAGCAGAAGGGTGGTCCTACTACCACAAAGACCCTCAGTTTTAGGCAAAAAGGTATATTTCACAATACCTTAATGTTTGACATGTTAAAATCAAAAATAGAAATATTTTTTATTTAAGATGAAATTCAGAGATCCAAAGAAAACTCACCTATATGTTTTTAAAAACTGATTTCAGGTACTATGAGACCTACAGTCTCCATCCAAACACCATCTCCTGAAGACCTTGATGGAAAAAGTGAATTCTTCCTGCTCTGCCTGGTAACAGGCTTCTATCCTAAGGAAATATACATCATGTGGCAAGTAGATGGGGGCCAGTATGAGGAGGGTGTTACTGGAGAGCCATTCTGGACTGGGGATAAATACTCGGTCACCAGTCTGTTTAAGGTATCAAAAGTGGACTGGGACAAAGGCACCAAGTACAACTGCAA